GGAACACTATCCCTGATTATGCCACTGCACATCTGGTTACTGAGCTCTGTGACTTTGTCCTCACCCACAACTGTTGCCAGTTTGGGGACAATTTATATCTTCATGTCAGCAGCACAGCTAGGCGCACCCGCATGGCCCCACAATATGCCAACATCTTTATGGCTGACTTAAAACAACATTTCCTCAGCTCTTGTCCCTTAGTACTATCACTCTGCTAACACTACATTGTTGACATCTTTATCACAAGGCCGTTCTCCATTGGAAGGAGACCGTTGAAGAATTCCACAGGGATTTCAACAACTTCTACCCCACCTGGGCCAATCTAAACAAAAGAGCCACTTCCATGACACTACAGTACAATTAAATGATGGCCACATTTCCACCACCTTATCCCAGAAACCCACTGACCATTACATTTACCTGCATGCCTCTAGCTTCCATCACAGTGGAGCAGCACTGTCACATGTACACAGGGAATGGAGATAGGGAGTTCAAAATTCAAACCGGAGCAAAATGCCCATAATATTATCTTTTATTTAAAATAAAAACCCACCATCATTTTGTTGGGGCTAAAACTCAAGAATTTAGCTCTGAGTTTTGGTCTCTTGCGGTTGGCAGTGCTTTGAATACTGTTAGGTGCAAAGTCTTATCTCAGAAAAATGTTAACAGATGATGATGGCAATTTTGGAAAATAAGCGGTGTCACAGAAACACAAAGCCAATTCTTATTTAAGCCTATTGGGAATTCTGATCTCATATCCAGCCTTGGTTCAGAAATTCAAAATTCATATGGTGGTTCATTAATTGCAGGATACCTATCCAGTAAAATTAACTATCTCATCTATTGGGGAAGATTTAACTCCACAATTGCTTCCACAGCTGGCAAATGCATGGAACGAGATGTATGTTTGTTGCTTTGTTTGGAAAAGATGTTTGTAATTTAAGAGAGCTCTCTAACTGATGATCTGATGAAGTGGGGTTTGCCTATAAAAGCTCATGATACTATATACTTTTGTTAGTCTCTAAGGTGCCACAGGATTACTAATTGTTTTTAAAGTTACCAATTAACATGGCCACCCCTCTGAGATTTCCTAATTTAGTTCAGGGAATGGGTACCAAAAGGAGACAGCACAGGAACTGTCAGCTGAGACACAAAGATTCACTGAAATTATGATGTGTTGAATCACAGAAATTCCCTTGGGGTTGTCCCCCAGTGTGCTGATGATGCCACTGATGCCCACCTTCGTGCTCTCTGGTGTTCCCCAAAACCCTATCTTACTGGGCCAGAAGCTCTGGACTCTCCCAGCAAAGGTCTTTTGGACCCCAAAAGAGAAGTAAAAAATAGAGCCTATGCAGCTAGTTATTGCAAATTCAGTATTTAATTACCATGTTAAACCAATGACATATGAATTTGAATTTCTCTAGGAGAGCTTTATTGTGAGTACTTAAAAGTATCTGAGCAAAAAGGTCTAGTCTCTGTCATAAAATGATCTCATCGTGTTTATAGAAAGGATTTTTTCTATAAATTCCAGCATTTAAATATTTCCATAGGACGTTGATCTTACTCTAACTTTTCAAGGACAAAGAACATGGATTTAGAACCTCATTCTGCTCTTCTCATCACTACACATATTGGACCTCTGCAGGAGCCATTGTTACATTTGTTCTTCATTAGAGTAGATCTCATGATAGCTACTATCTCTGTTCAGCTGAGGCTTTGTATTTAAATTGGGAAGCTTTCTTTAATGACATGCTGTATAGTAGTTCAATTCAGGCCAATAGCTTTCACAGCTGTCATAACATTCATTCTGTAACTCAGTTAAACACATACAGGTTGAAACTCTCTTAACCAGGATTCTGTAGTCCAGCAACATCTGTGGTCCTGATGTGTGACGGGGAAGCGGGACCAGAAGGCAGGAGCCCCGCTCCCCACACTAGAGCCAGGCTGCGCCCCTGCGTTGCAAAAAGCAGGCGGCTCTGCCAAGCCTGCTCAGCAGCTGTGGGCGCGTCCTGACCCGGGTGCTCCGGGCAGGGGTGAGGGGCGCATGCGCCGACATCCGAGAGAGGGGCGGCTCGGCTGAGCTTGCTAGGGAGCTGTGGGGGGCGCAGGCGCAGTGGATACTGGCTTGGACAACCCAGGCAGGGACCAGGAGCGCATGTGCCGGCGTCCTGAAGAGAGAGCGCCAGATTTAAAAGGAGGACAAACCCCAGTGAGAGGGAGAGGAGTGGAGCTGAGCAGGAGGCAATGGGGGAGAGACTGGAGGAGGAACCTGGACCAGAATAGGGATCACAGAGAGGGAAGAAAGCAGCCCAGGACAGGGCAGGACAGAGCCCGCGGACCGGTGAGTTTTTGGGACGGACTCCCCCACCAGTCAAATAGGCATCATCCGAACCTCCTCTTAGGGTCCTGGGCTGAGACCTGGAGAGAGGGCGGGCCCAGGTCTCCCTTCCCTCTCAGAAACCCGGCCCTTCTTGGGTCCTAGCATAAAAAACCCAGATCCTGGCCGTAACCCAGACCATTAACTAATCCGCAAACTGAGGCACTATCTGTGGACCATAGTGCACTATAACATGACGTTCCAGGACCAAAGAGTCCCAGTGAAGAGCAACCACCTGGGAGCCCTGCAGGCTGACAGGGCAGCAGGAGACCGATGTGTGGCAGTGGGGCTTCCTGACCGGGCAGTGCGAGTCCCACGCATGGTAGTGGGGCTGCTCAGTAGGGCAGCGGGAACCAGGTACACAGATGCAGTGAGGCTGCCCAGCATGGCAGCAGGATTTGGGTGTACTGCAGCAGAGGCTGACAGGGTGGGGCGGCCCAGTGAGAGGGGAGAGCTGGCTGGGAGGCCAGTGATTGGGCCAGGGTGGATGGGGGCTGGTGTCAGGGGACCAGAAATGACCTCCCCTGATCTTGCAAAATTTCTGATCCAGGACTGGTCAGGTCCTGAGGGTGCCAGGCTAGGGATGGCCAGCCTGTGCTGCTTCTCCAGTTAATCATGAAATTACAGCCATTAGGAGCAGTGACAGTCTCTAGGAAAAGTAGTTATGCTTCTGATATGAAGATCTGTTGGAAGCCCATTAACTCACCAAATTCTGCACATTAGTTATTCAATCTTAGCCAATGTTATTTCCTTTCTTTTGGAAGAATTCTTCTTTATATCTGAATGCCTGTGGGCTCGTCTAGACTACATCCCTCTTTCAAAAGAGGGATGTATATGAGCCCGTTCAAAAGAGCAAATGAAGTAGGGATTTAAATATCCCACACTTCATTTGCATAATCACATCCCAGTGGTCTTTTAAAAAAGAGTATTCCTTTTCGGGTAACAGTCTAGATGCGGTTCTTTTGAAACCCCTTTTTCGAAAGATCCCTGTACTCCTGGGAAAATGAGGAGTACAGGATCTTTTGAAAAAGGGGTTCTGCATGCCTGATTTAGGTTCTTTTCCCTGAGTGTGTTCTAAATGGGGAATCTGTGATATTGCCATTTTTTAAAATCACAGTGCTGTGGGGTTTTTATACTATTTAAAACAGAGATGGGGAACTGTTTTTGGGTTGAGTGCCGTTGACCCATAGAAAAATCAGTTGGGGTTGGCGGGGGCTGCACACAAGCGAGAAGCACCCGACTAAGAAGGTGAAAGACACTCCCCACATTCCCCTTGCATACCAGAGCCTCGGGGGGTCTCTGGTAGTAGATTTTATGTTCCAGCCCTGCAGGGGGAACTGTGGGAGTGGAACATCAACATGGGCTCCCCAGTGTTGTAGGGGGAGCTCTGAGCCTTGGGGACCAGATCCAGGCAAGGGGGGGGGGGGGGTGCATCTGGCTCCTGGGCCTTAGGTTCCCCACCCCTGATTTAAAATATCTGAGAGATAGCTGTTAGTTTGTAACCTTAAAAACAATAAGCAGACTGATCGTTTTTTATTTAAAACATGTTAATACATTATAGAATGATATGCTAATGTAAATTAGTAGTAATAATGATACATTTTCTAGCAATAGACAAAGCCCAAGAATTTGTTTTTTAATAGCACCCTGCATAGACCCTACTTGTGAGCTGTCTTCCATTGCATAGTGCAGAAGAGCAATCTGCATGTGTTTTCCCATTCAGGAGATATTGTCATCTGCATTTGAGTGACAAAGTAAAGAGAACTCTTTGGGTACGTCTAGACTACACACTTCTTTGTAAACCAGCTTTTTTGAAAAAATCTTTTGAAAAAGTTTGAATCTTTCGAAAAAACTTCTTTCCAAAGAGATTGTCTAGACAGTCACAACTTTTTCGAAAAAGCAATCAGAGGCAATCTGGATGCTCTCTTTCAAAAAAGCCCCGTTTGTGGTCAAGAACACCTTTTTTGAAAGGGCTCTTTTGAAAAAAGGTGTTCTTCCTCGTAAAATGAGGTTTTCCGCTGTTGAAAAACCCGCCGAGTTCTTTTGATTTAATTTAAAAAGAACACAGTGGCAGTCTAGACGCAGGTGAAGTTTTTTTCGAAAAAAGGCCACTTTTAAAACAAAACAAAAAAACCCTGTAGTCTAGACGTAGCCTTTTAGGGATATTTTACCAAAAGAAAAAAACATTGAAAAGAGATGACTTAGCAGATACAATTGTGTTAATTAACTCTAAAAATTAGAAAAATACTGTCCTTTCTCTATTCTTTTTCTCAAAGGGCAGTGGGAGATGATTTACAGTTCTTTCCTTTGAAACTGATAGGAGTGCAAGTCCTTTTGGGTAACCAATTAAACTTACCACACGAAGTCCTTTGAACCAAGATTATTGAGGTGTCCAGAGATTCAGGTTGAGCTACGTATTTAAGGCAGACTCTCAATAAGCCTTGTTTTCAGAGGCTTTTATTGAAAGGTGTTATAAATTGCATTAGTATTAAAATTGGAAAGCAACCTATACTCTATTATTATTTGTGCACTTAAGGTTTATGTTAAAAACATCAGATTAAATATGGTATGTTCTTTGTGAAATGTCTCAAATGTAAGTGTAACTTTCATGTTTGTATTTCAGGAAACCCAGATGCCTTTACTGAAATTTTGTTGGATCAGGAACCTATAAACTCTATAAATGACTCAAGCCAGCTAGAAGATTCTGGATGTGATGTATCTAGTGACTGTTTATTTGATACTATAGACACATCACATAACTTGGGGCACTCTGAGCATAACTGTAACACTTCATTGTCTACATTTAATTCCGAAATACTTCCCATATTGAATACTCATTGTACTAGCAAGGAAAAAACTTTGGCTTCTCACATGCAGTTCTTGCAACATCTCCTTGAACTAAGAAAACTGACAGAAGCAGGAGGTCAAACAGTCTTTACAAAGCTTGAAAGCGACTCCGGCACAATATCAAATTCTGTCTCTCGATTGCTTGATGGTCTACTTACTTTTTACAAGAATCCTAAATTTCCTGTCTCAAATTTTCTGACACAAGCAGTTTCTGTTTTGATCAATTTAATAACTGATACAGATTTATCTAATCATGTTCTGAAAAAGTGTTTTGAGAAGTTAGAAGAATTTAACAGAAACCTAGTTCAGATTATTTTAAGCAACAGCAATTTCAATAGGGTAAGTGAAATGACTTCCAACTTCACTATCTACTTCAGCATGAAATCCAACTATACAGTTTACAATAAGAAATACAATGATGCATCCATAGAACTTGCAACAAAAACTAAGAAAAAGTAAACATGTAAAAAAGAGAGTATGTTGCTGCACACATCTCTTATAGTTACTGCTTAAGAGTAAGATTTGAAATGCTGTGGAGTATTGATTGAAAATCTTTTATTTGCAAGGCAACCCAAAATTTACAGTTTATCTTCCAACTATCTGGGTGAATTTAGACCAAAGCAAATGTGTGGAAACTAGAATAAATACTGTTGTTCTTTACTGTATGAGGTGATAGAGTAGGTTGGCACAGGCTACTGAATATTTTCACTATTTTTTTTCTTTTGCTTGCATTGAAGATGTGGGATCAGATCTTTAGTGGGTGTAAATATGCATATTTGCGTTGAAATCTCAGTGAAAGTCAGATATAGTCTACTGAAGCTTGAAAATAATTCCTGTGTTTTTTTATTTTTAAATATTAAGAAAGGAACATAGATATTGAATGTCTACTGTTACAAGAGTAAATAGAACTGCAAACTTTGCAAAGAATACCATACATAATTTTATATTTGTCAGGCTATTTCTGATTAGTTATCTCTGTTACTACTTGACAGTTTTGCTTTCAATCACTTTGTGTGTTCAACCATTGCCTGCTGAAAAACATTGCATACCTGCAGTTTGCTAACAAAAATAAAACAATAAAAATTACTATAAATCAACCTTAATTTAAAATGTCCCTCACATATTAATGCTAAAATAATGTAAAAAATAAAATTAAAAATATAGCATAATAAAAATTGCTCTAACAAAATCAGTTATATATTTTATTAAAATTAATTATAAAACTTAATTGCAGTTTTGCTCTAAAATCATCCAAAACAGCTTTTCTTCAAGTAAAAAGCTAACATTTAAATTTCCCATTAGTCAAAATGAAGAAAGCCCCTACGTGTGTGTGTGTACACAGAAGGGTTTAACTCTAAATAAGCAATCTGAGCTACATGAATTTGCATGGCACTTATTTTGAAATAGAGCACTCTTCCTCTGACTTCCCTTACTCCACGTAAAATGAGGGTTACAAGAGTCAGAGTAAGAAGTCCTCCAGCTTGACAGTATTTCGACATTATTTTGAAATAACTGCCTGCTGTGTAGACGCGGACCACGTTATTTCAAAGTAATGTTGCTAATAATCTAATAATCACTCAGTACATCCTAAATGATAAATAACTATATCTAAAATATACTAAACCTATTACATTAATTAAAATGAATAAATACTTAAATAAAAGCACATTTGCGTATATCAGATATCAAACAAATAAGCTATGCTTCCTATTAATTTATAGCTAACACTACCTAAAAAGAATTTAATTACACTGCTTTAAATTCTAAAAAAAAAAAAAAAGTAACAGTCTCTTCCAAATTAAGTAGTTCCTGTGTCTTTCTCTGTGGAAGTTTTTCCATTACCTTCCTTGAAATTTCTATTTTCATTCTGGTCTCTTTAGTGAAAGCTGGACACAATAGGTAGAATTTATTAAGTATTTTAAGTATATGCAAAAATCCACTTAAATATAAAAGAAAGGGGAAAGGTCCAACTATTGTATAGTATGTTTTATTGAAGGGAAAAGAATTCATTAGGACTACTCATGCAGAAGACTTTCCATGAGCAGAGCCTAAAATGTCTAATTTCAAGACATTTTCATTATTAGAATTTTTCTTCTCTTCTGTTAAGCTAGTAAATAGATGGGATGCTGGTCAGTAGTTTGGAAGTGCTTGAGCATTTAATCTATTTTATACTTCTGGCATAAGGCATAGAGCAGAATAGACCTGACTACACTGCTCCTAAATCATCAGACTCCTCCTTTCTCTGCACCTGGTCTCTCCACTCTTGTTGCAGAGTGAAGTATTCAGAACATTCTTGCTCTGAGTAGAGGAGCCAACAACAAAGTTAATGAGAGTAGTTTCCATAGATGGAAGAGGAACAGACCTTGAGCAGTTTTCAGGGGTTTCTTGGGGATCAATTACATGGAGAGAACAAGTGAACTTTTACCAAAAACAAACAAAAACTTTAATAAAAAAAACCCCCAAAAGTGATACACCAAAACATACCGGTACCAACACCCTCCCTCCCCCCCCAAAAACCATCAGTGGAAATTAGATGGTGTTCAATGTTCACTCTACAGGAGGTAGCATGGCCCTGTAGCTGCTTAATGAGCCCCGCCCAGATGGGCTCAGGGCTCCACTCATGGTTGGGGGAGGGTCACTTGCCTCCCTTGGAAACCTCCTTGGAAACAATGAAGTGAGCCTGTGTCTGTTGATTTGCAAGACATGCTGTAAGATTATTTATTTAATTAATTCATTGACGCGTGAAGTGTTTGACTGTGCCTGAGGTTTTTATGGAAGCAGAGTTTTGTAGGACTGTTAGAGTTGAGCTATGTAGGCTATATAGTGGAATTTTGTTTATCCTGTTTCTATAATTTGTTGAGCGCACAATCTCAGGTGCCTCCTTAAATTTCCTATAAATTCTCAGCACATGGAAAAATAATTGGTCTTTTCTCTACTTGGTCTAGAGAATGTATTGATTCATCTGGATATTCAGAAATTTTGGAGAGATGGATTGTCATGGGGGGCCTGCTGTCCTTAGGTTTTAAATTAGGGAGCCTTCTATCTTAATGGGTGATTTGGCTTGTAGGCCAAGAGTTTATCTGGAAAGAAAGTCCATAAAACCCAGCATACAATTCAGATCATTTCAGGGTTGCTGTAAATTTTGTTTTTGAATCAACATGACCTATCTTCTAGCTTGCTGCATTTTTGTTAGAGCTCTTCCTCCCTGAAAAGAAAGAATGTAAAAAGTGTTTTTCCTTTTAATACTGTTGTCCTCTCCAGTGCTTTGTTCTACATCTCTTTAAAGCTACAGCCATCTCTCTTCAAACAAAACAAAATCAGACAATGATAGTCATCTCTTTTAACCACTGTTGTTTGAAAATAATTGTTGTTTTTGGGAGTTTTACCTTTTTCTGAGAGGCTCACAAATACAGACAGTTGTAAGAGAAGGTTGGACCAATATCCTTTTTATTATTTTGCTAAGTAATTGGTTTTGGGGAAGTGGAAAACATTTGAAGTTGGGAAGAAGTTTGATTCCCAGTAGCAGAATGGTTTACCTAATGTTTGCAATTGCCTGGCTAAAATTTCAGTATGGTGTCTCAGAGCATTTCATGAGACAACAGCAGTTCAGTAAGAGATTGCTTTTTTATATGAGTGTGAATTATGAATCTCAGTTGTAGGCTGTGTTGCTGGTTCAGATACAAGAATTGCATCTTGTATCTGAACCAGCATGGTATTAATGTCTGTATAGGTAAGGGGCTTGACAACCGGGTAGCCTTAATATTTTGGAAAACATCATTATGTTGAAATACAGCATAATGAAAAACATAAAACAGAAATATAGATAACTCATGAACAGGCAATTAAATTATGAATTGTGTGTTTATATATAAAAATACACATAAAGTAGTTAAAAACAGTAGCTGAAAGATCCTGAATCAGTGTGCTATTCAGATATTATGTGCTTCACCAAGAATTAAGCTTTTCAGATAGAAACCCCAATCTTATATTGATAGCTTTATTATATGACAGACTAGCTAAACTAACTATAGGTGACATTAACTTGTGCCATTCATTGTAGCCTGCTGTCTGTGTTTTCAGCAGTCACATTGACATTGCTTAACTCATCAATATACAAGAGCCTCCCTATTTAGGGACAAATAATATTTAAAAATGCATTAAGGGTTATCATGTCTCTCCAGTTCCTGTCAAGTACAGTTGAATCTCAGAGCTAAGAACTGACCAGTCAACCACAAACATCATTTGAAACAGGAAGTATGTAATCATAGACCTCAAATCAAGCAAGCAAAAAACAAAACAAAAAAGCCCCAACAATGCAGTACTTTGTTAAACGTAAACTAATAAAAAGATTTTTTTTAAAGATTTAAAAAAATAATATTTTACAAGTTAAGGAAAATAATTTCTGTGCTTGTTTCATCTAAATTAAGATGGTTAAAGGCAGCATTTTTCTTCTGCATAGTAAAGTTACAAAGCTGTGTTAAATCAATATTGATTTGTAAATTTTTGAAACAACCATAATGTTTTGTTCAGAAATATGAACATTTCGTTCTTACAACATCCATTTCTAAGGTATTTGTAACTTTGGTTTTCATTGAATCCAAGTCATTAATTCAACCCAAGAACTTAACAGATTCTTTTTTCTGTTTTTTTTTACTTCATATATTTCTGAGTTTAACATATTTTATATTTTTATAGCTATAAGACGACGTGATATTTTGAACCCTTACATATATTAAGGACAAATTCATTTTGCCATTATTTCCGGACAGAACTAAAACATGATTCATGAATAGATCACTGAGAGATGAAATTTTATTTATGTTCCCTATAGATAATTTTATTACTTAGACAGTAGTGTTTGCATTGTTGTAGTAACCATGTTGGTTCTATGATATTAGAGAGACAAAGTGAATGAGGTAGTATCTTTTTCTGGACCAACTTCTGTTGGTGAAAGATTGCCTTTCTCACTGAAAGAAATTGGTCTGATAGAATATATTACTTCACGCCTCTGGTTTCTCTTACTTAGGCAAGGTAAGTTTAGCTTATATGCAATTAATGATGGAGCTGGCTTGTAAATATTCAAATATCCTCCTGCACCAGCTCAGGGGGAAATTGGATTCACTGTGTTCCTATCAGCTCATGTAGACACTAGTAAATATGTAAAATGCTCAGTATTTACAGTTTGCATCATGCACTTATTTCGTAAAACTTAATGCTTTTACTATTGTCTCCAGCAGATGGAGTCAATTCTATATTAGGTAGCTAGTTTTAAATACAGTTCTAGCTTCATGATTAATCCAAGCTTGTGCAATTTTATTATAACTGACATCCTGGAATAC